GAGGGTTGTGATTTATGTTAGTGTTTTTCTTTTTCTGCAGAAGCCGACCACAAAACAGTGACATGTATGTACAATACATATAAATATAATTTGCATGCGTTTGCAGGGGCAGGGGTGCAATGTTCTGTTTGGCACAGTTTTTCTTCTTTTTTTTAGTCTTTTAGAAAATGTTGCTGCATGAATGGGCGGTGTTGAGACCAAAACAACACAAAACATGTAGCGTTTGGTGTTAGAGAGCCAGTCCAGATCCTCCTCCTCTTCCTCTTCCTCCTTCCACGCCACCGTGAGTGTGCGGCGCTGCAGTCTGAGCCATGCAAAGACCACAGAGACAAGTTCTGCCGCCAGCCGAGGATCTGAACTCCACCACGATGTGGATGTGAGAGCGGACACACACGGTTGTTTTTCCACACGGTGATGTGAGTAGAAGCAGCTTAGGGCGGGTAACTCGGGACGTATCATTGTACACATAGACTTCTTTTTTCTTTTAGACATTTTCCATTAAAAAAACTATAAATACCATAAAAGAAGCATTATTTACAAACTCCATGCGTTTCGGGTTAGAGTGATCACTGCAAGAAAAACACAGGGGAGAGAAGGACGTGAAGATGTTGCCAGTGGTTCATCACTCAAATGTACACAGTGAGGTGTTCTTCACACGACAGAGAAACGTTGTTATGGCTTATTTAACAGGAAACCCATGCAAATGTAGAGAAGCAGAAACACACATTAATAAAATGAACTGATAGAGTGATCAAAATATTAGGAGCATTTTTTTATCTGAATTAAACCTGAAATATAGATTAAATCAGTCCAAAACTTTGATTTGACTAACCTTTCTGTCCCATCCCAGAAATAAAGATGCAAATAGTCATTTGTGTGTAGTTGTGTGTTTTCACTGTGGGAAAAATATTGTTAATAATAATAATTTTGAGTGTTTTTCTCCGTTAATATGTCTTCTTTCAGAGTAGTGTAAATAAAACGATCTTCGTCTATTTGTGTCTGTCGATTCATTAATTCAAAATTCATTAAAAGCCCGCTTTAGATAATGCCTTATTTGCATATTTTTTATTTCAGAAAACTTGTTATAGAAAACAAATATTCTCTTAATGTAAGGAATCATGGTGATATATGAAGAAATGAAGACACCACTGCAGCATTATCAGTTTCTCTGGTTTTACTATTTATGGCACGTGTTTGAGTAAAATAAAATAATTTTTTATGTAGACGTTGATATTTAGAAAATTCACTACTTTGAGATGTCCTTACATTTTGTTCACTCTGTATCTGTGTAGTTGAGCTACTGAAGTGTGTCATATCACTCAAATATAAATATACTCATCTCACCTTCTGCCAGCATCCAGGCATTGGTAATCCATCTGGGCCCTGATGAGAGAAAAGAAGCGGGGAAGCAAAAGGAAAAACATGAGCACTGAAACAGGTTTGGGTTTAACAGGTGAATAAACATTAATACGCAAAAAGCACACATCGGAGAGAGTAAATACATAAAAGCTACTTATAAAAAACCACATTCGGCCACATCGATTCAAATCAAACCACAGGCAAATGACCTAATGATAATGCTGATGTTATGCTCTTTAACTATTCATTTCTCACATGCTGGTTATTTGTATTCCTGGTTACTGAAGGAGAAAATGTGATTCTGCTGATCAAGTGTTTGTATCATTATGTTAAAATATTGAATGTGAAGCTCTTTTAATGTTTATTTGATTAACTTTTCTTTTTAATGACTGATTTTAAATGCCATTAACTTAATGTCTTTCATTTTTTGTAAAGCACTTTGAATTGCCTTGTGTTGAAAAGTGCTATATAAATAAACTTGCCTTGCCTTGCCTATGGTGTCCAGTGTAAAGGATGACGTGTCAGAATGTAAACTGCATAAACGTTCTCTGATCATTGTACCTGTTGCGAAAGCAGGTTCTTCAAAATGTTTGTGTAACAGGAAATTAGGAATGAGGAACGGTTGTGAAGTAACCCTTTATAAACACTAAAGACTGTGTTTTAACTATGCATTAAGCCTGCATCTGGATGTGTCCTGATAAATGAGTGTTATGAAATATAACATGTATTCTTATTCATGCACATAATACACAGCAACATACAGCACATGCACATGTCTCTGATTTGATTACAGTTACCCCACAGTTATAAAACAACAATAATAAGATGGATATGGGGACACTAACAAAATCAGAGTGTATCTGAAAGTCATTGCAGCTCGTGTAGATGCAATTTAATGAGATGGCATTTTTGATAAATGAAGTATAATATATCTAATTTCTTTGTAAGCACACACACACAATCAATTTAGCCTTTTAAAATTAGTTTAAAGCTTATAATTTAACGACTAACAATTCTACCCAGAGTGTAAAAAACGAGCATTGCATTACACAGCACTCTTTCAGAAGCAACCAAATAATAATTCTGGAGAAATATCCAGTTTTTTGTTTTTCCCTTGTCATCATGGTCTGGCCCAATTGGTACAAATAAAGGAAGAGGGGAATGGGAGTTAAAAGAGTGGAGGGGGGAGGGGGGGGGTCTGTGTTAGCATCAGGTTGCAAAAGAACTCCATGGAGGAATCAGCAGTGGGGAAAAAAGGATTTAGGAAGAATTTGTTTACAGTTTGAATAAGAGCAAAGGAAGGATTCAGTTAGAGGGATAGATTGAATTATCCATGTTTTTATTTTGTACATTTCACTTGTAAATGTGTATTATCTAAAAGAGGCTGCTTGCTGTCAGAGAGTTAGTGACGTATATCTTGGTGCATGTTGTTTTTCTCAAAATGGAAAATGTATTTGTGATAACAAATAAAGTGCCTTTCAAGCTCTCGAGGTCATGCATGGTTTTGATTGGGTGAGGACTGAAGGTGAGAGGCATGCATGGGTGAGAGGTGGAGGAAGAAGAGAGATACTGTACCAATTGGCATGGGGCATCCAGCCCGTCCAGACCTGGCTGCCCTGGTTCCCCCTTTTCACCCTTAAATCCCCGGAAACCCTGTTTTGCAAAGACGACCTAGGAGTGTTACTGGGAGAGAGGTGGACGACCTTTAACCCCCCCCCGCATCCGTCCTCTACCATGGACACAAGAAGGGGGGTGGGATGGGAGGGAGGAGCGGCCCTGTGAGCTTGCTGATACCACAAACCAGTTATATGCTTTNTTCGCACGCTGATAACAATTTTTGTTTGTAATGGAACTTCATATCAAAAAGGTTGCCGACCCCTGCTTCCAGGGGCCCCCTGTTCTCCTTTCTCGCCCTTAGGCCCTTTTTGGGGAACACATGGTCAGCGTTAGATAGGAGGGGAGACCAGGGACTCTAAAAACATTCCTTAGACAGGAGAGGAGGAGAAAAGGGGAACGTTACAGAGCTACACAAAATAAACGACTTCATCTTCTTATGCATTCAGTACATGCACAAAATACATATAAACATTTCAGAATTACATTTCTTTGCACCAAACTTTAAAGGGAATATCACAGGCACTGTTATGAGCTAATACTTATTCGTATTGCGTCTATGATTAAATTAGCTCATTATCAAAGTGCTATGACAGTGCCTGATTATTGTGTTTCACAGGGAACAGAAGGATCGTATCTGAGTTGGACAAGGTGAGGTAAAGAAAATATTAAGGTCAACAGACATGAGAACGCCCAATACAGATTGTGTTATTTTCAGGGATGGGATAGAGTTTCCCAGTGACATTAAGCATCTAATAATCACATTGTAAGTGTTATGGGAACAGACAGATTTAGCACTGCAAAGGGAAAGGTTATCAACAGGCTCAGGGTCTATGTATGTGCATGCATGGAAACAACAGACATACAACTTATGTGAATTTATAGAATCTGTTGTCAATGGACTTATGTAGGCAAACATGTCGAATCACGCCTACAAATGAGATTGATTTTGAGAAATGAAATGACAAATCATTCAAAAGTGGAGAACACAACTTTGAGCGGACTGGATGGTATTTTATGAGAAATATGTTTTAAATTGTATGGAGTTGCTTCAATGGTATAATGTAGATATTATAAGATTTATGCCATTTATACAATTTATGTAATCAAAATTGTTGTCAATAAGCTATTCTGTCCAGGAGGTCTTAATTATATACAGTAATACTGTCATTATAACATCTTCAACGTCGCCTTTCTCTCCTATTAAGCCTTGCAACCCCTGCAAAAGTACAACTCCATTCAATTACTCTGGCTTTAATTGCAAGGACAAGAGAGAGTGCTGCTGTCCTGACAAAAGCTGAAAGCAACAAAGTAGGGGCTGAAGAGGGTGAAAAACGAAACATATAGACATCAAAAGAAAGGGAGGAATGTGAAACAAGAAAAAGTAAATAATGCAAAATATGAGGCTTTTAAAATCTCAAAGGGAAAACTGACATTCCCAATAATCAAATGCAACCACACATGCACATAACTATGAATAATACATTTTTAAACAAGGTCAACTTCACTCTGTGTGTACATAAAAATGTAATATGACAAATGCTGGGATATTTATAATCTGAATCTAATTACTGAATGCATGTATTAACTTTAACCACAGATCATATTCCAAGTTATTGTTGACTTTTGGTATATTTCTTTTAGATTTACGGTCTTTTTACATAATGTGACTTAGAGGCTGTCACAGTATCAGATTTTTACTACATGATTATCATTCAAAAATTAATTAAAATCTATAGAATAACATGTATATAGAATCCTTTGTCAGTAATCTCATTATCACACTACCTAATGTATTCTTTTTATTTATTATATAATCCACACCTTGGACGAATCCAACAATTACTGATGGCGGAGGTCAATTATTTTTGACAATAAAAAAGGCTTTTTTTTTTTACTAAATGAAATGTTTTGTGACCAAATACACACTATAACTCAGACCATTTGTCCCTGCGCCTTCAGAGAAAATATAAAATAAAAAGGTTTTGGAGACTTACATCCAGGCCTGGTGTTCCAGCAGCTCCCTGCAAATAAACAACAACATTAAGTGAATTGTAATTATACAGTTGACTTCATCATATGCTGACATCTACATATCAAGTTTGCACAAATCCTACTTTAAGTAATAAAAGAGGCAAATTTAAGCAGCAAAAAAACTTTGAGCAGCAATATACATCAAGATAGTGTGTCTTCAACATGATAAGGTGCTCATCAAACTCACAGGAAGTCCGTAAGGGCCCCTTGGTCCTGGATCGCCTGACGCTCCTCTCTCACCCTAATACAAATAAATCAGTGTTGCAATCACGTGAAACAGATAAAACATCTCATGAAATCAGTCAGATATAAGGTGAAAGTCAAATGTGGATCTTACGATGTCGCCCTTTGGCCCCGCCGGCCCCGCTGGCCCCACAGGCCCGTCCTGGCCCTGCAGAGAGTCGTGTTGTCATGGTGAGTTATGGCCATAGTATTTTTTTATTAATTTCCAAACAAATAGATGGAAAGCATGTTCATTTGTACAATATTCCCAGCCCTACACCGGCACACAGAACGGCTGCTCGTACACGTGCATTGGCCACAGAGGGACATTTACAACACTGCTGACACAGTTAATGTATGAGTGTGTGTTAATGCTGAGTTAATGCAACACGGGACAAAACGACGAGAATACAACTCAGAGTGGCTTCATTGAACTCATGAGATAAGATGTGAACAACTACAAAAAAGTGTATAGATCCTCAGGTTGCACTTTATTTCACAGTACACTAATTAAACGTATCAAAAGTAGATATTACACAAACCCTTTACCCCAATTATACACCTCTGTAATTAGAAACTGTCATATTAGACCCAAAATGTACTATTCTTACAAACTATTATATCAAATTGTACTCCCATTAGAAACCAAAAGGGAGATCTTATACATGTTACAAGATATGAGTCTAAATGAAGCATATACTATTTGATTTCTTGACTCTGCTCTTGTAAATTGGCCTCTATTGTGTATTAGGATTTGCTATTTGAGTGTAATTTAATGTACCATTGTCTAAATGTAGTATACAATGGGTCTAACATATCAGGTTTCTAATTACAGTGGTGTATGGCCTCTTAGGATATAAATGTGTTTATTAAATGTCTAAGAAAGTACATATTCATTCTAGTTTTGGTCTAATTTGACACAAAGTATGCTCTATAAGTCTCTTATTAGTGTACTGTAAAACATATAGTGCCTCTTAACTGCCTTCTTAGTCACAGTAAACACGATAAAATGGAATGATGGTGGTAACTCATCTGAGGAAAGGGCCTCTCTGTCACATGACACTCACCCTAATTCCGGGCTTGCCGTCCAAGCCGGATGCTCCCTGCGAGGTTATGGAGGTATGAGTGACATGAACAAGGCGGGATTAGTTACAGATGAACACTGTTATTAGGACAGGTCGATGGCAGGGTTCACAACAACTACATTACACACAGAAAACCACAGACAGAAAATGGAAAACGAGATATATAAAGACACACACTAACTCACACACACTCAAATGCACAATTTAAAAAAATCAGACAGGGCTTAAATAGAAATGAGCAGTGCACATCCGGGTCTCTATTTCCTCGGATCCCTTCACACCGTGCACCAGATTCACCCTAAAAAAGAGAGAGGGACATGGGAAGCAGGCAGAAGTGTTATAATTTAAAACCTTGATGCAAGATTCTTTAGATTTGTGGGGATAAATGCACTTACTGGAGGTAAGTGACAGCTAAATACATGCTATGTCTAAAACAATTAATAAATAATGTATTCTAGACTCACCCTTACCTGTGCTTCATCATGCTATCTATCTGATACAAATACTAATACGAATTTCACGAAAAGCTGCAGAAAATGCTAAAACTCAAATAGAGAATATGCATCAGAAGGTAGAATCTAATAAAAGTCATTTTTATGAGCATTCATATTATTCTAGAGCTAAATTCTACAATTATTTTAACTTTAACTACGGACACATATGTCAAAAAATATATAATAGAAAGGTATTACAATACATTTGATTCTATAAGATTAATACAAGTGTCTGTTTTAATTACAGTCATGATAAGTGATTTACCTTTGCTCCAGAGAAACCATGGGGACCCTGAAAACACAGAAAACATTGCAAAATATTATTCTGTGGCTTGACTCATAATCAACAAGATTTTATTTCTCATTTTAAAGAGCTAAACCAAGCTTTTTTTGGGTCTTTCTACCTGTAATTTATCCACATTTTCCCTCACGAAATCTCAAGTGCACTACTGTGAAACATCCACAGATATTGAAGGGTGCTCTGTTAAGTGTTTTCCCCACGACCTTGCTGGGAATTACAGCCGACTATAATATGTACGTTGAAGTTTGGCCGTGTTTTGACATGAACTGGCTCTGTGCCATATTGTAACCAAAATAATGAAACACAACAACTCTAGAAACTGGTTGGGCTCGTTCACAGGGAGGAGGAAAGTAATCGTTTTGCGTGTTAAAGTTCACCTCATTACAATACATACTCTTATTTGATTATTAATACAAGTCCACCCTGCATAGCAGCACCTTACTCCATCTTGAACTGTGTAATCATATAACCAGTGTAATTATTCAACCATAATAACACTTAGGTAATTGTATATCTCTAACATAGCATTTTAATATTTACATATTTATTGTGATATATATATTGTAGTACAATGTGCAGACTTCATTTCCTTTGTTAATAATATACATATTTTTATTCTTTTTTATTGTATTTTCTTATTGCACATTTTTACTTCATCTTTAATATATTATATGTTTTCATTCTAAACTGTCACAAACCTAATTTCCCCAGAAAAAATACAATATTCAGATTGTGACTCAATGTTGATGGCCCTGGGGTGCCGATGATCTGCAAACAGTAACATAAAATCAATGAATTATGTTCTACAGTAACAGAACAACACATGACTGTATGTCAGTTTGCAATGAACGGCTTATTTAATAAATGTCGAATAATATTTCATAAATGAGACTTACTGAAGAACCTTGAAGACCAGGCAGACCTGCGTCTCCCTTGTCTCCTCTCATCCCGTTCACACCCTGAGACAGAGGGCAGACGAACATACAAGTCAAAGGAAATAGATAAAATATGTATATTTTTATATATAGATTATTACAGGTAGGCCAGTTAAACCAGTTCCTCCTTTGTCCCCTGAAGCTCCGGGCATCCCCATGTCTCCTTTAGAGCCTTTGTAGCCCTGAGAGAGAATACAAAGGAATTATAGTTTCAATTATTCACCCTGCAGATAAGTTTGCAAATGTCTTCGTATATAATATTAAAATGTAAAGTGTCTCCAAATCTGCATATTCCTACTAGAAAGTCCTGTGTAAGTAACAAAGGGTTTAGCTAATGACAGAAGCCATCATCTATTTTTAAATGGTACAACTCTGTCTCAATATGAAGACATCTATTATATTTTGTAACAAAAATAAAAAAAATCAAAAGAGAAAGCCGAAATATAACATTAATACTCAACAAGTCAACCATTTTAAGTTTTTATTACAGTTGAATTGAGTATTTTTTATCACATGCCCCTCTAATTACATTCTCTCATCAGCTTCGCTATATAAATCCCATTTATTATTATTATCTGCTCTCTCCATTCTAAATTGAACATAAACCAGATTTCTGTATTCATGTTTCAATATGTACACACACATGGATTTTTAAATACATTACCTCTCCTTCACAATGTTCTGGCTTTTCTTTCTTATTTCTTATAATGTGAATAAATGAAATGAACACGGCCTGTGTTCTACACTAACAATAAATATAAGAACTCACTCTTTCCCCATCGAGTCCGGGCAAGCCATGCATCCCACGATCCCCCTATATTTTGGCACGGATGGAATTATTAAAACAGTATTAAAAAGTGTTTACTTTGCCCCCTCCGGTCCGATGGGCCCGGGCGGTCCAGGTGGACCCTAAACAGAAACAGACACAGTAGGAGAATTTCTATCAGAAATGAAACATACTTGTAATTGGGGTTAAATGTTTGAATGCAAGGAGCTCCATTTCATCGAATGGAGTTGACCATCACGATGAAATGACTTGCTGACAGGACAAAACATATTAGCGATCAGTTATGAAGTACAATGCTCAAAAACATGTTAGCTATAACATCCCAATAAAAATGATAATTGACAGATGATGATGTTTATGGCTTCTTTAATGATCAAACAGGAGTTTACCATTACTGACATTCAATTTGATTTTGAAGCAATCATGTTTGGACGATGTTAGACGATTAAAATGTGTATTTATGCACACCTATAGTCCAGTAGCCAGTTTCCAATTGTGAACCTGGAAATGTTGAGTACAACAAAATTGTATCATAGAAATGTATAGTATGGGTCCCAAGCACTGCCAGATACCAACTTGCATAATGTTGGGCAATTTGCACAAGTGTTGATAATTAGCATTATTACATGGCTTAGTTGAATACTCGATTCTGATTGGTGAATTCAGAACACGTGACACGTTGTTAATCCAGTAGTACAGACCGCTGTCAAGGATTTATTGACCGTTGTTAAGGACGCTTACATCTGCAGAAAGAAGTCCGGTCGATTTAACTGTATACAGTTTGGCCGAAAAGCAAACTGTTTGCTTGTCTTTAGTTTTCCGTTGTCTACCGTCTGAGAGCAGCATGGAGGATTTATTTGGAGAGCACAGTAATTTGGATGATGGTTAGTGGCTGATGAGGACTAGCTGATCAACTACGGGGCAGAAACCCTCATCACGGAGCTGCAATCCTTTTTACGTAGGCTAATGGTCCAGACATCAAACGGCAAAACATATTTAGTTGCCAGTTACTTTGGCATTAGGGCAGGGATATCTAGATACTTTCCAAGGTTTGACATAATGAATTGTGCTACTTGTAAAGCAAGCAACGATGTTTTAAAATCTGTAATTAAAAAGTTCCGCTACGTAGTTCAAACGTTAACAACAGACTATTTTTCATAGCGGATGCATGTCATTTTAAATCAATAAAACTACTTTTTAAAACCAATCATACTATTTTTTAAATCAATAAAAAAAAATCTAAATCAATAAAAGCATTTCAATTAATATTGGGAGTCATGTCATTACTTTGTTGAGAATGTGGCCTTGTATAAGCGGGATAATGTGCAGGTCATTATGGGTAAAAGAACACCCTTCATGCTGATCAAGATCCCATAGTTTTCGATATCGCTCCACACAAATCTTATGTAAACTTCTTCACATAAAATATGAAACGAAAATAAATGTTATATCTGCATGAAGTTTTCTAAATTATTTTCTTTTTTTTATTCTTATAGCTGACAGACATTAAGGTAACCAACATGTATACATACATATTCAGATGTATTAGAGGTTCCCCAGGGGCTCCTTATGAGCTCTTTGTCTTGGACAACACAAAGTGTTGATGCATGTGTGTCACTGTTGAAGAATGTATGTAGTGTTAATGCATGTGTGTGTATGTGTGTGTAAGATGCGAGAAACCCAAGAGGAAAATCGTGTAAAAGGGGGACGAATGGGCAATCTGACAAATGGTAGAGGCCAAGTTCTCTCCTCTTTTACCCTGAGGCCATGTTACATTAGTTTAGAGAGGGTCCAGATATCCCTTCTCTCCCTGTGGCTCACAAACATGCACACACACGCTGCTACTTTTTATCTGTCATTGCAACAGTATCTCTTCCTCACACACTCTCACACAGAGAAAGCCGATATTAGGAGCATGTAGTTACACTGTAAGAGGATGAACACCGGGGAGAATCTTGAAGATTATTCATATGCCTACTCATTTAGTGGTAAAATAGAACAGCATTGATGAACATTCATAGTGTGTGCCTTTATGTGTGTGGGGGTGTGTGTGACTGAGGTGTGATTTATTCGTATGTTGGCTTGTAATTTGTAGCGGTCATCCATGCTAGACATTTATATGTAAGCTCTTTAATCATCAAGTTTTGCAATATTTATATCCCTCTGTATGCTTTTTAAAGGGAGATGCAAATAACAGAATCCAAATATTTGTGTTGAAACACTTTTAGAGCAACTTTTACAAATAGCACCTAGCCTCATTTTTTCTGTAGACACAATAGTTCTATTGTGTTTAAGGTTAATAAGTTAGACCAGGGATATTCAACTAAAATTCAAGAGGTTCAGTTAGAGAAAATCTCCCCATGCAAAGGCCCGGAACATCAAAATGTCTAACTTGCTTTATGAATTAGTGTGGTATATTGAAGTAGCCTGTAGCTTTATCAACGTCTGCATGTAATCAACAACTGACTGCCCATCAAATAAAGAAAGTACAATTAAAAAAAAATATATATATATATTTATTGTCAATTAACATTGAACTATACAGTAAAATACTGTGGATATGTGTAATGTTCCTCTAGGGCTGCATTTAAAAATAAAATAGAGAAAATAAATGAAATAGCTTTTGAACATATGTGCATCTCAAAAGTGCTTAATTTTAGATAAATAAAATAAAGTGTAGCAGCAGCTTGAGTTTCTCTTTTTCTTTGTTAAAGGTGGGGTCGGTACTTTAGGAGAAACCAGCTCGAGTGCGATAGAATTTGAAAATACACAGCCGGAAGCATAACAATTGAACAGTTTTAAAGTTTCTCTTTCTTTCCCTCTTATATTGCAGTCCCTCACTCACTTTTTTTTAATTCAGTAGGAGAATTGAGCTTGAGCTTGTCCTGCCAGGAGTTTAAATCTGGGCTGTGTATAGTGCATAGTTGAGTAGAAAAAAACTGTTCCTACAATTTCAGGTAGATTAACACAGATTTGTGAGAAAAGTTAACAATGAAGCACAAAACCCCTCTTTGTAACCCTAGCGTCGCTTTTAAGATAGAACGTCTGGGAAGAGAGTCGTAAATAGTTGGAAAAAGAAATGAGTCTATAGTTCGGTGTGAATAACAAAAATGAAGCCGAGACTGAAACAACACGAGTCCTACTCAACCGACACAAAGGGGACACATAGCGATTTGGTTCTTGCCAGTAACTTTACCCTGGAAATTTTTTAGGTGGTTTGTCTAAGTTGTCCTTTCAGGATTACTTCCGTAAAATACCAAACTTTTTGTTCAAGCTCCTATTCCCGGGTCTGTTAAGTTAGTCTCTCCTCTGAAGTAAAACAAATTTCTTGTAAATAACTGGTACAGTATACTATTTACGAATTAGAAACCGCTAATCTGGGGCTAGAACTTTAAATATAGATTTCCCCCTTACGCTCGGCACTCGTATACCCTTGGAGGGGCCTAGTTTTGAACCACTACTAACTACTTGCTAGACTAAACTACTCCCTACCCTACTTGCTCGCTCCACCACTAATCCTTCCAGAAACCTACATCGAGAGGACCGAGACCTATACTACATTGCCTCCACACCACCTCTCCTCCGCCGCCGCGCTCTTACTGGACTTAGTGTCGATTGTGTCCTCTCCTCCTCTGTAAACTTTCAACCGACGTCGGCCACTAACCGACGACGACTCTTACTCCACTTACATTATCCAATTTCTGTCGCGGCACTACTCGCCTATATTCGGCGACCCCCTCACTTACATATGTATGGGTCAGAAGACCTTCTTGAAACGACTCGAAAGTATACTCACTAGTCCCTGTAACCAGTCTTACGACCAACCCTCCGAGGTCAAGAAGGACAACGTGTCTTCACCCGTGAAAAAGACTCTCCTCGTTCTCGATGTCGTCGTCGTTGACGATTGACGAGCCGTCGGAGTCAATAAGCAATTATATTTTAGGTAGTATTGTTAGGTCTTGCACCTGCCTCGACAGATGCAACATGCGTTTTAACTGCACGAGAAGTACACACTTGCTCCGGAAAACCCAACCGCACCAATTTCAACGCGTGACGAGACAATACTCGGCGTGTATGCCCTGAAGAGTCCCGACGACCCATTAGACACTGCAAAGTGAGAGAGTTTCAACCCGATAGTACGCCGGTACTCGTTGAGAGATCCTTACTCTACTCCGGGGCGGAGGGTGCGACTAGGTCCAAGACAATAATTTAGGTACCAACTATAGTTAATGTCGAATAAATTATATGACGGTAGCAGTATCAGTGCATTATGTTAATAGATAATAATTCACAAGTGGTTGTGCTAATAAAAGGGTAACAATAAGAAAAGATGACTTGTTTACAGACATCTTTGATGCGTTTTTGTCTAGGTAACTCACACACCTTATTGTCAGGATATATATATATGATATATATATATATATATAAATATATGACCCAACTGATATGTTATGTCGAAATATATATGACCACAATTATCAGTGCTTATGTTATGTCTTAGATATGCAAGTGGTTGTACTACAAGGTAACAAAATCAAGAGTGCCCCTTGCTATTGCGATGTTGTTTTTCGCCGCAGGTAAAGACAATAAAACGTTCACACCTTAAGATAACTAATGTGGTTTATGTGTTTGATTTATTTATGTTTTGGTCTCTCCATGTATGGAAGGACTTCAACGTATTAGTCCCAGACTAACACCGCTACATTAGGGAGTGAAGACTCCCTCTCAGTCGCTTGGTGGTAAAGGTGACAGCAAAAAAGTCGAATATGTCGGAGAAAGACCCAACGTAATAACCGAGCTTATTCAGGAATTTTGGGTTTATTTAGGATACAGGAACAGGAACATTATATTACAAGACAAAGGACGACAACAAGACACAAGAAGACAAGTGACACAACGCGACGCGACGCGACAACGAACACAACTCCAATACGCCGACCGAGACGACGAGTACACGCATTTCGACGGCGACGACCGTAATAAGTGTGATGCGTCCTAGGATAAGGACCTTGGGTAACGAGCAAAAACCCCCCCAACTGTGAAAAAACTTTGAAATCTCGTTATCTTAGGCTCCCCCCAATCATTTAGCGGCGATTTGTGGAATGCAGTTCCTCCTCTCTCC